ATTGTGTTTGATTAGTATAATTTTCACCTGGAAAATATTGAAATTTTGAATTTTTTGGTATTCGTTTGACTTTATTTTATATTGAAATTGTCCATTAAATGAATAGAATTTGTTACAATTGTGGATATAATTTGTCTCCATTACTAAATTTTTTTTTTTAAAAAAAGGTGGAAAACAATTTTCCCACCAAAGTGGTGGGAAAACAAATTCAATGAAAACCAAGAAAAGGAGGTCACGTGGGGGTTGGGAGGAAAACCAATTTCAAAGAAAATTTTGCCAATCAAACATTGTAAGAGATGGAAAATGAAAAATGAATTCTAAGTTCCATGGAAAATGAAAGATATCAAACAGACGCTTAAATTAAATTTCAAATGAAATATAATCACATGAAATCCAAATAATGGGATTGATAGTATCATATGACATATATAATTCAGTCAAAAGGACACCACAAAAAGGGACAGCAAAGAGGTCTTTTTCTGTTGGTGCTTGTAATGGCATCAACTTTACTTTCTTAACATTATTGTTTCTCCTTTTTATTTTAGTTATTTTACTTTATAATAAAAATATTTTACGTCCAATCATTCCGAACAATACTTGCATTATTGTATTGTAAGTGTTAATACTAAGTTAATCGATGCTTAACCTTTTGATGGCTCTTCTTGAAATCAAGTTCATTAAGTGCTTGTTTCGTAGGGATTTTTGGGGGAAAAATTGATTTTGAATAGTGATATGATGAGAAATGTGTGGTTGAAAAAGAAGAAAAAATTATTAATGTGATGAAAAATATTATTTTATTGAAGGATGCGTGGTTGAAAATGAGAATTGATTTACTGTAAAATTTTGAGAATCCCTCCCAATTATGGCCTAAACGTAATTGCCTAATTAGCCTTTCTAGTAGCCATCCCTTGACATCTTGTTTAAAGCTTCCAACATCGGTGATCAAGTGATGCAACCAACAAAAGGCAGGGTTTACACGATTGACGGCTAAGTAAAATGCCATACAAGAACTTCTTTTTCGAGACTAGTAGCAACTTGAGTTTTGCTTCTTCCATTTGAAGGGCTGAGGCGATGAGGCCATATACTATCGTCTCTTCCACATTCATTTTCGAGGAGTTAAGAGTACAACACAATACTTCATCGACGATGTAAAGTTGTGGAGTCTAATTGTTATCGTTAGTTAAAGAATTTCATGGTTGTAATTTCGATTAATTTATCTTATAAATAGGGAGCCGTCGTTAGAATTTTGTATTATCGTGGAAAAGAGAGGAGGGAGGGTTAGAAAAGATAGATGTGTTTTTTTCATCATGGTGAATTATCGGGACAACAGAAGATGACGTAGTTTCAAATTTAGACGAACACCTATAAATATTGTGTGTTTTTTGTGTCTATTGCGATTTTATTACTCTTAATAATAAAATTAGGGTTTTCAATTCTCAACAAACGGTCACCTACGAGGCAACAAAACTTACTTCAAACTTATCACCTATTATCTCCGAGACAATCAGGACAGACTCAACCCTAAGCCATACCAAATGGGCTCTTGAGTTCAAGGTGGTTGAAATTACATCCCCATCTTTTTATCGACTTGAGCTTTGGAGTGCTTAAGATTGTGGTCTCCCCCTCCTTGTCTGGAAAGATTCGGTCGACACCTTTAACGTGTGTACACACGAGAGTGAAAATGGAATGTATTGATGACTGGATACCATCCAGATTCAGAAATTAAGGAAAGATGTTTAAAATTAATAACAAATTAAAAAACGTATTAATTACTCTCAAAAACCTCAATTAAAACAATCATAAACAAAAAGATTACAAATCCCCAAGGCTCAACACCCTAACCCAGGAAACAATCTTCTTCAATCTTTCCCCTTAAACTCAAATTCAAGAATAAAAATGACTTCTTTGAGATTATTGCAACAAAATTTCTTCTTCAGATTTGCCAAAACTCGAAACCTCTGCATATTTATTTCCGAGACAATATCAAAAAAATTATTTCTTCTTTATAGTTTTTGTTTTTTAGGTTCTAACTTTTGAAAGTGCAAGTTCTAAAATTTTGGGATCGATTTTCACCCCCAATTTCAGATTTGTTCTCTAATTGGCATTGGAAGTTCTTTTTTAGGTTTGCCTATAGAGTTTTCATCTTCTTTGATCCGAGTGTATGGAAATCTGCGTGAGTGTGGGCTCATTTGTCATAATTTTTGACATAATCTTTGGAATGGTTATAATGTGATTATAAAAACCTTTTAAACTAATATTTAATTAATTTTTTTTTTTTTTGTTGTGTTATATATGAATTAGGATATTATATTAGAAAGTCACTTGACGTGTCACTTTTTAATTAAAAGATAACACACAATATACTTGACTTCCTTAACAAAACATTCATTTGGCTTTTATCGATAATTTCACACCCACACTACGAACTCTGTATTGAGTGTCGGATTCCTAAATTTCACACTACAATAATCAATCTTGAGTTTTCACTAGTCACGTGAAAAAAAAAATCTCAAATTTTCAAATTTTCAATTATTGTTGCTATAAAATGGAATGGAAAAGGAAGAGCCTTAATTTGGTTTCGTGGAGGACGAGGAGTTTACATATTTTCTTGTTATTGTGTTTTTGTTGGTGTTTTCGTCTTTAAAATAATAAGAGTCCAATTATGAAGAGAGGGGAGAGACCCAAATTCATAAGACATCAACATATTTCATCTTCATTGATTACTTTGCAACTTCTCCTACATGTTCGCGTCCAAGCTTGTAACATGTTTATGAGTGAATTATTTCTTTTATTTTTCAAGATTATAATTTTAAAGTCAGTAAATTTTCCTTACTTAATAAGAAATAAGTTTTTATTTTTCTATTTGTAAGTTTAGCCAAATGTGCCTTATTATTTGTATTATATGCGATGCGGTGCATTACATAAGTTGTACACAATATGATGTTATGTTTAAAACTAAAATTTTGTGTCCTTACATGTTTTAAATTTTGTATCAAGATGCCTACTAGAAGAATACTTTTACAAATTAATCCATGTTAAGAAATTACAATTTTTCTCTAAAAGAATATTACGATATCCCTCTTAATAGACAATAAATGATGAATGTGATAATATTTTTAGTAGTTTATCAAATTCGCTTACTTTTAAAACGTAGAGTGAGATGAAATAACATTTTAAAAAGTTCGTTGAAAACTCTGAGAACTTTTAAAGTTCAATGACAACTTAGAAACATTTGAAAAAGTTAGTGATAACTCAAAAAACTTCAAAATTTAATGACAATTGAAAAATAATTGTAAAACTTTAGTGACAGTTTAGTTCTTTAACCCCAAAATCCTATTTTGCAATTTAATAAAAACATGAAAAAAAAAAATTATTGTTCAATGAAAATTGGAAAGCATTTAGGAAAGTTCAGTACGCAATTGGATTTTTTAACCTCTGAATGTTAGTTATGGTTTTACATTATTAAGTAACAAGTTTTTAAATTTCTTTATTAAAAAGTCAATTAATTCATTCACAAAAAAGTCACATACCATATCTCCACTTCAGTAAAAAGTCACACAATGTTATTTTTTATACTAACTAAAAATTGGTAAGAAATTTTTTTATTAGACCATATTTTAAGTATTTTTCTCGAGCCACATTATTTTGGAAGAATGTATTCTGGAATAGTAAATTGATGGAGAATTTGTGTTTGAAAAAGAAGGAAAAGTTATTGATATGATGGAAAATATTATTTTATTGAAAAATGTGTGATTGAAAATGAGTAGAAGAATATGAATAAAAATTTTATTGTATACCAAACATAGGCTAAATTAGATATAAATAAGAATAAAAAACTCATTCTTTTCTTTTCTGAAAAATTCCTCTACCAACTGCCATATCCCATGTATACCTCAAGAATAAAACTATGTGTAGATAATTCTTTACACAATCCTTTACACCCCCCTCACATGTAGGGGGGTCCACACATAATAAAATAATTGTGGGTCCCCCTCCATGTGAGGGGGTGTAAAGGATTGTGTAAAACATGAGGTGTACATGTAGCATCACCCATGTATTAATTGGTACACCTTTCTATACAAAATCATCATCAGGACTTCTTCATATGACATTACACCCTCCTCACATGTAGGGGGGTCCACACATAATAAAATAATTGTGGGCCCCCCTCCATGTGAGGGGGTGTAAAGGATCGTGTAATGCATAAGGTGTACATGTACCATTACCCATTTCTCAAAGAGTACACTCAATTTTCGTTTATCATTTGTTTCTATTATGTAGGATAACTAAATTAGAAGTTCGAAAGCAGCAAGTTTTTTTTTTTTTTTTGGACTCACAATACTTTTTTTTTTTTGCCCATTTTCAACTATGGACTTTAATAATGGAGTCGTAAAAAAATGCAGTGAGAGAATTTAGATGTGTGTGGTGTACCTTTATTTTATTATATTTATAAAATACTTCTAATATATTTATCGAAAATATATTTTAATTAGGGTGTGATTATAAGGTGATGAGAACAAACAAAATTGGATACTCGCAAAGGCTTGAACATACTTTTCAAATTTTTAATGAAATGGCAGTAATGGACCTAAGTGCCCTACTCATTTAATCTAACTAGCCTTTGTCAATAACTCAATTTTTGAATAAAATTTTGGGTAATTCCAAATTTTCTGTACAAATTCTCAAGTCCTAATAGGGTTTTTGTTGCTAAATTTTCTCAAAGGTTAGTCTTGCTCGTTCATGTGCCCAATTATTTTGTACAATCGATGCTAATTCACAGAACCAAGCACGCGTTCTGTTTCATTTTTCTTTCATTCACAATGAAAGCATTCATAGGCATAACTTTTGTCGCATCCATGCCAGAGTGCCTATGTGCAATACTGTAGAGAACTAAAATTACTGACAGGCAGAATCAAGAATATCAGATATTTTACATTACAACTAAGGTTTTCCAATACACAATGCTTCCACATATTGCTCTCCAGAGACAAAAATATAGGTCACGATCGAACTCTTGCAAGACGGGCCCTCATTTCTTCAAGCTCTTCTTCATCATCGGCATTCTCCTATAGTTTCACATTCACAAAACTTAATGAGAAAAAAGAAAGAACGAACGAAACCAAACCATGTGCAAATTTCTGCAAGTTAGGTTCAGGTATACCTCTGCATCTTCTACACCCTGCACGGGTTGCTTTAGATTTTCCTTTCTGGTTGCTTCAGGAAGTTGGGCAGCAGTCTCACCGGCAATTGCAGTCAGGACCTTGTCAATCTCTTCTTCAGTCTCCTCTTCAATGTCTTCTGAATCAAGTGCATCGTCCACCGCATCATTCACCATCTCTTCAATAACACCAGCCTGCAATAACATAATCGAACATCAGTGCTAATGAGTCATTGGTTCAACTCAAATTGCATTACGTTAACATCCCAGCCATCATCATTGCCCCATTCTGAAAAATATTGTGCACCACATTGATGTCTCAGGCACAATACAGCAAATCATTCTGAGTATGTTTGGCTATGCTTGTAAATAAGTAAAAGCTACATTTAAGTAGCTATTTGTTTCTAAATAAGTAAAAGCTACATTTAAGTAGCTATTTTTAACTTTTCAGTAACTATTTACCTAGCTCTCAAAATATGGAACTTCCTTACTTCCAACTTCAACCCATAAAAGATTACTTATTTTTAAATAAGTACTTTTAAGCAAGCCAAACAAGCTCTAGAAATTTCATGCTTTTCAGTAACTTACAAACAGATTGACTAATTCAAAGCTAGTTAGATGATTTATGCTAACATTTATAGAATAAAGCTTTTTTAAACCATGCGCGTAATACATCGCCAAGCCACAAAATGGAAAAGAGAAATGATTTTGGAGCTAGACAAAGAAGTAAAAATATTATGCAACATGCTAAAACTATTTTTGAGGTTGTATAACATTCCTAAAACGATTGATTTTCTTATGCTCACACAAAGCAATCATTTACAACAGGTTGCCTTAGGGTGAAACTGAAGGAAACACGGGAAGTGTTTTAATTGTTGCAAGTGACAAAGAGAGTAGTTGGAATGGACATGATAAACAGATAATAAACCGACTCAAATTGTAAAAGCCATTTCTGGAGTCTTCTTCTTGTCATCTTTTTATTGCAAGAAAGATGAAAAGTATACCTTGGTCATTTCCTTGTTGAATTCTTGCATGGTAACAGCCATTTGTGGGGCCTTCATGAGATTGTTAACAAGCTTCATGACTTCAGCACTTTTGGACAAATGTCCCACAGTGCGAGCAATAGCTGTAAACTCGATAAGAGAAAGAACAGTATCAAATACAATATCAAGCAGAAGACAGTGAAGAGTGAAGGAAAAACAATATTTTCTGCTGTCTATCCACAATATAGAATGGAAACTCCCTCTGAGCATCATCCTTATAAATAAACGTGCACAAGATAAATCTAAAAAGAAGGAAAGCACTCCTCCAAGACTCCAACAGATCCTCTTTCCTCACAAAGGATGACAATAGTTACATATAGTCAGCTCGTTTTTAATGGTCAGCAGAAAACAACATCACATGGAAAGAGTACCAATTATTGCCAAATATTTGACCTTTATTTAATGTAGACCACTCTAAGGGGGGAGTACTTGTTAATAATAATGTAAAATAAGGAAATACAGAACTTTTCTTTTTTTGGGTGGGGTGAGGACAAGAAATAAGTAACTTATTGAGACGGATTGGGAAATGATTAAATGAACAATTCAATTTTTTTTTTCCCAATACAAAGCAATTATTTGACTCCTAAAAAAATGTGCTGACCTGCTTCCATTACAATTCCTATGATTAAGAATGTGCACAATCTGTTGACTAGTGAATAGGTTTCATGAGTGTCCTGAGCTAGGTGTAATTTTTTATAGCTTCTGTACATTCCTTGTGTGCAGCATCCTGAGCCCCTGTTTGACAACCATTAAACCAAAACTCTTTTTTTCAACTCATTTTTAACCACACATTTTCACAGTAAAATATTTTGAACGTAAACCCAAAACTTTTTCCCACCACACATTTTCCAAAAAATCACTATTTCACAACTCACTTTAAAAAAATCATTTTAATGGTTATCATACAGAGCCTCAATAAGATTTTGTGAATTACTTAAAAACATCATTTTTTAATGGAGAAGAAAATTTTAGGGAGAGAGAAAGATATACAAAGTAATAGACAGAGAATCCTCTGTAGCCACACAAAAAAAAATTGAAAAGAAAATTAAGTCAAAGGTTTTTCAGCTCTTTTTAAAGTAAAATCAAGATGTACAGAAAAAGTTCCTGCACCATAGCCCAAAGAGATGCAAAGATGAGTTCTCTATCACAAAGGAAGTGCAACAGTAAAGATAGTTGCTCGAAATTTCTAACATTCGTCTCCCACCACCAAATGGACAAAGTAATAGCCAATAAAGCACTTCATTAGAAAGATCTCCAGGGAACAAACAAGTAAACTAATTTCCTTTGAAAGAGCAAACGGCCTTCCAGAATTCTGGTTTACAATTATAATGCATAAAGAGATGATCACGTCTCAGAAAGTTCTTGCAATTAATCTACAAAAGTAGGAAACTCTATGTTCTTGCTGACTCTTCCTAGTTTTCCACACATAACCGATTTACAAGTCATTGGAGTGAAAAACATAGCATCTTAATTTTTGCTAGGAGTACACAAATTTTAATGTTTGGGATCAAAATGGCATAATCAAGTGGGGTTTTCATCAAATAATACAAAGAGGAAATGCCTGCTAGAACTAAGCATATTTCTCTGCAGTAGAACATTACAATACAAAAGTCAAGCACAAGTCAAAAAATGAGAAGGAGCATACCTACACTTTCTCCTAGGTGCATCGATATCGAATTCAACTGTGCCTTGTTCTCATATAGACGGTTCACAGTTTTTCTAGATCTCACAAGTTCTTTAGCAAGTGCCTGAGAGGAGTATAAGATAAGTCAAAATTTCAAACAAATAGGATTTATATGTCATACTATTACAGCTATCTAGATGTAATAATTGGTTTTTCTAGAAGGTCTTGGGCATCTCATATCATGTAGGGTAATCTGAGGGCACCATTCTAAGTCAGTTAAGGAAGCATAGTGGTAGATAGGGATGTAAATGGATTAGATATAAATAGGATTTGTCCATATCCGATCCGATAAGAATAATCATCCGATCCGACTCGACCCGATAATCCAAATGATATTTGATTGTTTAATCCACATCCAATTTGCTATGCTATCGGATATCCGATCCGAAATTGAAGAAATTAGGAAGATAAAATTTTATATTAGTCAGCTTCTGAACCCTAGAATAAAAAGGCCTAGCTTTTTACCCAATTTTAGCCCACATATTTATAGATTGCAACTCCTGTGATATTCTAGTGAGTATCCGATGTTAGAAGTGGGAAGTTGGGAACAATGAAAGCAACTCCAACTGTTGGCCCCTTTAGTTGTTTAATTTATAAAATAAATTAATTATTTTTTATCTTATTTTAATTAATAAAAAATTAAAAACTCCCCAAATATTTCAATTAACAATATTATACTATTATCTAATATTATTTATTATTTGAAAATTATGTGTAAAATATAATACAAGTTTCGAAATGAAAAAAATCATGTGTAATAAATTATGCGATAATACCTAAAATATATTATATTATTATAATAAATCGGATTTGGTTGTTATCGGATCGGATTAACTTATATCCATATTTACTTCATTTAATTAACAGATTATCGGATTCGAATCTTGATCGGGTTATCGTCCATCTCCCATTAATTTTATCGAATTCGGATCAAACTTCAATCTATTGACAGCCCTAGAGGTGGGCGATATTGCAACTAGCCAGTTTCCAAACTAAACTAAAGTACTTGATTACAATATTCAAGAAAATAGCTTTAGCAATAGCTAGTTTTGTCCCATGTTGCTCGGATTCGGGTACGGGTGTCGAAGATAGGTACCTATCTAGGAGCCTAACCCTTCTTTTAAAAGTGGGCTGTGGGGATACGGTTAAAAAGGATTTGAATTCTGGGTAAGGGTAGGAGGATACGACTTACATAGTTATTTCCCTTTTTTTTTTTTTTTTTGTAAAAAACAATTATGAAAATCAATTTAAATTCAATGCAAAATAACAAAAAACTAATAACAATAAATCATAATAAATTTTATGCTTAAGGTAAGGACATTAAAAACGAACTCATGTTACATGCTTCAAGAAGTACAAAAACTCGTAGAGGAGTAAATAGATGACATATAATTGAGTTGTAGATAGATGGTGAATTGACCTACATTTTATTTAAAGACGAACCGAGTTTGTGACTTTGTGTTAATTTTATGAAGTCATATTATTTTTGCGCTTAAAGCCTTAAACATACTACAAATGAAATTGTGTTATCGTACTTTAAAACGTATACATTCAACTGGTGGTGTTGAAAATAAGAGGACAAATAAATGAATGATAAAGTTGCAAATATATGACAAATTATGCTTCCATTATATATTTTTGGATAATGCTATATGTACACCTTGTGGTGTACACAATCTTTTAGACCCCACTCACATGGAAGGGGGGCCACAAATATTTTATTGTGTGTGGGTCCCCCTCCATGTGAGGGGGGTGTAAAAGATTGTGTACACATAGCACAATCCTATATTTTTTTTACTTCAATAAAGTTGCAAATAGATGCTAAACACATTGTTAGATTAAGTAAACAGAAAATGCACGCACTTGGATACATTTTGAGCAAATGATCATCACAAACACGGAATAAAAGCCGACATCTTTGGTAATTTCAGCATGCACAAATTTGAAAGGGCAAAGAAATCCAAGTTACGAATTTTGTTCATGGAAGCATATCAAGACTTCTGCTTTGTGACAGTAAGCCAACAAATTTTAAAAGTTCTTTTTCTAAGAATTGCATGAAGGTCATTCTAGGCTTCCTTGCCCAAACCCACACCAATATCCAATTGCATCAAGAGTTACAACTTTGTTGGCAGCAAAACATACAGGACAAATGGATCACTCACTTAGTACGTACTCCTCTCGCACACTTTTTTCTGACCAGAGGAAATTTTTTCCCTAGGCTTTCTTCCACATGATATCCCCAGCTCACCCCCAGCCTAACAACACAAAAACGACAGATGATATCTGGATCACATTTTGTACGATCATTATATATCAATGTGAAGAAAGACGAAACCTTAATTACTAAAATCAATAACCACTGGGGGAGATGTTGATTCCGCATCATGTAACGTTAACAGGGTATCAATCATCATTATTCACTAACAAATTTGAAAAATTAATGATAATAATAACACCAAACTTCAATTTCAAAATGTTCTAACATCAATCAACAGCATAAATCAATAACATTTGAAGATATACAACCTAATCTATATATGCCTTATGATACCTTAGCAGAAGCCATGTCATTTCTCTTCGCAGCCTCTTTAATCGCTTTCTGGACATTCTTCTCTTCTCTCTGTATATCTAATCAAACCCACCAACAAAAATTCTAAAATTTCCGACCATAAATAAATTAAATAATCAGAAATCTAGAAACTCAAAATTTTAAAAAATGAAAAACAAATAATAACCTCGGATTTGGCGTTCGATGTTACGGCACTCTTGGCGAAGTCGACGCTGCCAATCTCTCATTAATTGCTGCGGGTTCGGTTTGGGCTTCAATATATTCTTCATTTTTTCCATTTTTCCCTCTTTTTAGCTAGGGTGAGGGTGGGGATCGGGAGGTCTCTTTACAAATAACACCTAGAAAATTGGGATATGTTCGCAGTTGCGTGAGAATTCTGCAATAATGTATTTGGATTTCTGTTAAGAAAATAATATGAGGGAAAATATAATTTTTTCTGTAAGCGAAAAGTGACGGGAGGAGGACTAGGCAGGAAAGCCGCGTAACAGACGGCTGAGGAAAGCAGAGCCGCCGTGTGATCGGAAAGTTTTGTTACCACGGTCCACTCGTTGGATATTCACAGTACCTTGGACTGGAAATTTTTAGGAGTTAAGCTACAGCTACCTGCCCGACAACAAAATCAGAGGTGTGTGGGGGAGGTTTTTCTCATTATTTTAATCACGTGCGGCCACTCCCATGTGAAAAGAAATAAATTCTAAGCAATTGAACTGTCTATAACTTATTTTTATATAAATTATTAATTAAATATGTTCGATTAATTTATTTTTCAATATATAAAATATTATACATGTCCATTTTTTATTATTAGGTAGATGCGAGGGTGAATAGATGAGAGAGAGTCAATTACCTGAAAAATAAAATCACTATACCTTTAAAGAAAATATTTTTCTTGTTTTCAAGGAAAATATGATCACGTGGCCAAAAGTAGGAAAATATTTTTCACAGAGAAAATTGTCAATCAAACAGCTAAGAAATATGAAATTAGGTGGAAAAAATATATTTTCCATGAAAAAAATGACAATCAAACACACCCTAATATTCATATGCTTGTATGAAGCATGACCACTCCCTCCAATGAAGAGGTGCCGGGTGTCCATAGTGTAAATGGTGATGTACCACTAGAATAATCATATTAAAATACCACCATCACAGCACAGATGTGCATAAACTAAACAGAAAATTAACTTGAGTTGTTTTTCAGCCAATTAACTTAGTTAGTAGCTATTTTTTTATTTTATTATTATTTTTTTTTGTTGTTTTTCATAGAGATTTTTTAGAGAATGTGTAATTAAAAAATAAGAAAAAATTTTGGGTTCAAGTAAAAAAAAAGAGTTTTAAAAGAATGGGAAACAAATTGAGACGTAATTTTTTTTTTTTCAAATGTGGATGAACAATGAGTAATTTTATCCTTTTTCTTTATATAATAAAATTCAATGATCATGGATTTAATTAACTCAAATTTAGAAGGGCAGCATTGGAGATGCTTTATTTCAATTGCAAATCTGATAAAATTGATTAATTTCACGAATTATTGAAATTCTGCAAATTAATCATTTGCTCATCAATTATCGAATTTCATTCAAATTATTTATGATATTCCAATACTATTATTATCATTATTCATCTGTTTCAAGATTTTCTTGAAACAATTTAATGTACAGCAGCAAATCCCGACTTTCTTTGGGTTGGTTTAGAACAAAAACTTCAGGCTTACCAAATGGAATTTATACTGTTAAATAATTTTTTACACATAAGTAAACTTTCACTTATAAGTAAATTTTTATCTGACTAGTGGTATTTTTACTTTACAGGCAATTTTTACACACGAGTGTATTTTTATCTTATGAGTAATTTTTACTTATAAATTTTTTAGTTATAAAGTAATTTTTTTGCTTATAAATAAATTTTTTTAGTTAGAGCTCGTTTGGTACACATTAAAATGAAAGAATGTATTTTTTTGAAGTGATGTGATGAAGAATATATGGTTGAAAAAGAATGAAAAGTTATTGATGTGATAAAAAATATTATTTTATTGAAAAATGTGTGGTTTAAAATGAGTAGAAGAATGAAAATGAAAAAAAATAATGTGACCAATGTATTCTCATTTATAAGTTAGTTTTGAACAAAAATATATGGGTTGAAAATAATTATTTTATAATGAATAATATTGAAAGAGAATTTGATAAACGGTCAAAACTTACCCTTTTAGTAGGTTAAGAAAGACGGATAAATTACAACTACATTGAGTTTGGATGAATTTCAAACCTTCCAAAATCAATTTTTTTAAAATACTAACAAGTACCGATTTTTTCAACCCCTCATAAATGATATTATTGAAAAATGAAACAATTAAGGATATTTATGACTTGCAAGTCTCGTGAACCCTCATGTATATTGAATGGCAATTTTATTGTAGAATGCGAAAGTGAAACCATGAACTTTTTTATTTTCAAACAATATATTCCCGACCTATTCCCCATAAGTTAAAGAGTAATGATATTCATATTCAACGACTACATTGGTCACTTTATATGATAACTTATTATTTGAAACATCAACTAATTACACTAATACATGATTGATCTCCTGCTCATAGTGAATATGAGATATTTTGTCCAGTATACTAACATTCAATATGTGCGGTTGGGGATTTTTTATTTTTGTTTTATATTCCCTTTTTTTTGTTCTTTCTTTTTCATATTTCCTCTTTCATTTAATTCTTAATAATTTTTCACGTTTATTCATATTACCCTCATCGGTCCAATAGAACTTGTTAAGGAGTCGTTCGACATGATTTTTACTTTTGCTTTCTCTTCTTGTGGAAGAGTTTTTGAAGAAAATTACTTTAATTTTTTATTTGAAAACGAATTTTTAAAAGCATTTTCTGCTTTTGCAAGAAATCACATTGGACCATCTTTTTCTAAAAACTCTTTTAAATACCAAAAACACTTTCATAAAATTAGTCAAATTAGTCCAAAAACAGTTTTTGAATATAAAAAACTCTTTTTGAGTTTTCAAAATCATGTCAAATGGGTTCTAACAGTAGAATCCAATATTGAATAAATACGAAACAAATAAACGACGTATGGTGTTTCGAGTTACTCTTCTGAAGAATATTTGACTTTTTAAAATAGAATGTCAAATCTTCATAGAACTAACAAAAAATGTCGAAGAAAAACTTGTTCCTTATTAAAAGTTTGAGACAAACTTCCATGCCGCATAGTAAACTGGGGACCAATAATGCAACTTTTTCTATGAGATTTTATGTCATTGTTACCAGACGAGTGCACATTGACATGGAAAATTATACTGTTGGAGACTTCATTATCGCATTTGGTGGTATAGGCCATCAAAGAGAAATGCTATGTGTACAAGGAAATTCGACAGTGTTTTGTACAGTAAAACATTTTGCAATTTTTCATTGAACGTTGACAAAATTAAAAAAATCTAACATACAGCTGTCAGCACAATACCTGTAAATATGTTTGTACAGGATCTCTGTACCCCGGTAAAAAAAAATTAATCCTCCTTCATATAGAAACCAAACTCATAGCATTTGCATCATAAATAGACGGAAAGTCATCTATTTTTTTTTTTTTTGGAAATGTTAAAAAGTACATGAAATTGTGACTTTAGAATAGGAAAAAAAGTATCGCTACATAAAAATCTATTGCACAATAGTATGAACAATGGATTATGCACATAGTGACTCAACTTCAATCTACTTTTTTTCTATTCAATTACTAGTTTTTCGGTAGAAAAGTTACTCGTTTCCATAGAAAAATTAGTTGCATATTTCTAATATTGAAACGAAACACCTTCCCGAGTTTGTAGTCAAGACAAAATGATTAGTTGCCTTGAAGCTTAAAGCTAGAAAAATGCGTAATTAACAAGTAAGAAAGAATTTTGAGTTTACATTTGAAATTATTTTATTAGAATAATGTGTGATTGAAAATAAAATTGAGAAAAAACGAGTTTTAAAGAAAGAACAATATTATTCATTGTCGCTCACTATTGACAATCGTCTTACGTTGCAATTTGTTATTTGGGAAATTAATTTTTTGTAATTTTTCTGTTTCAAATAACAAGTTAATCCTCAAGTAACGAATCAACACGTAGGACGACTATCGTTAATGAGTGACTATAAATAATATTATTCTTAAAGAAATACCTAAAACATCGGACTAAGAAAGGTTAAACGAGAGAGAATTTGAAAAAAGTACCAGTTTTGTGTTTTATTTAAGGGCGTGTTCGGTAGAGATTAAAATTGGATTAAAATTGAAAAATTAGTCGTTATTGTTGACTTTTATTAGACGGGTGAGATCCAATAATGGCTATATTTTCAATTTTAGTTGGATTTTAAATTGTACTGAACAGACCCTTAAGCAAAATGAAGTAAAGGCTGGACCACGAAGTTTTGGAAGAGCCAATTGCGGGACATAAAGTAACTGTAGGCTTTAACATTAGGGTTGGAAAGTAGAAAAAATATGAGAATTTCATAGTTTCCACTTTCCAGTTCATGCAAAAGTCATCCTTTTCTCCCTTCATTGTCTGTAAATGTACTTTATTATACCAAAAACAAAAATCTTTAGTTTATTTTATTGTCATTTCTCATAATCAATCATTTGTGCTTTACCTTTGCTCCCTTTAACCTTCGGCTCACCAAACATTCTAAACAAATAATTTAAAATATCTCTAGCTCTCAATGTACCTCAATTATAAACTATTTATAGTCGATCGGATAGCTTTTTATTCACATATTTCTGAAATCTACAAATATTATCCATTTATCCCTAACGCATTTCTATCAAATTTGAAGCTTTGCATGGAGGAGGTCAATTTGTCTTTTCTGAAACTATTTTTGGCTAATTGTACGATTTGCTACAATTGAGTCACTTGATCAAAGGTGCATCTCCTTAATACCAGACCGAATTACTCGAGAATACCCCGGGCAATCCTCTTATAAAGTAGGTTCGACCAGATCAAGCTATTCGAAATTTAAATCGATTATAAACAAGTTGAAAACGTGAAATATAGGGGTGGCAAAATACCCATCTCCTCTTGCCCCATCCCAAATTGTTCCATTAGAAAGAAAATTTTCTACTTTTCTCGAACCATTGACATGTGTATTAAATAAGGAAAATGTTATTTGTACAATCTCGATTGACAACCTCTCACATGTGTGCGGGGTCCGCATGTTTAAACAATTAAAAAAAAAAATGGACACCCTCAATGTGAGTGGTTGTCAATCTCGATTGTACAACTAGCATAGTCTATTAAATAATTGAAACTCGCTATTTAAATGAAATCTGGACAAAAACGTGTCAATTTAACAGTGACAATGAGTACCATACTTCGACAACACGAGAGATTTCCCCATTGGAGAACATGAAAGGATTGGAGCCTTGAAATTGGCATGTCCCTCGAGCATTCCTGGAGGAATGGGATCCACTTTACCGCGTTGTCATCCCCAGTTGGAAAAGAAATAGCAAAGTAAAATAATATTCAAAAAGCGAAACAAACTAAACGTTAAAAAGCCAGTTTCCCCCCTCTCTCTCCCTTACACGCAGAAACTCACGCATCACACATTTGTCACTCCACATATAAAACCTATCATTAAAGCCTTTACTTTCCCTCTCATGTAAAGCGCACAAGTTATACAGCAATGGCGCTAACGTTTTCCCATCTCTTTCTCTTGCTTCTCCTGATTTTTCCAACTTTCTCATACGCAGAAATAGCATCCAATCTCAAATTCCCAAAAACGCAGGCAGAAAAATTTATCAGATCCCTCAACTTGTTTCCCAAGAGCGATGTAAATCATCATGTTGATGGCGACTATAAACTGGGCGAATCCAGAATTTCGGAAAAGCGAGTTGAATTCCCTTACTTGGGTGATTCTGGGACTACTGTGGAAGACTTGGGCCACCATGCTGGTTACTACCGACTTCCCCACACAAAAGATGCAAGGTATTAATTATTTTCAGAATTGGGATTTACATTGTTGTTCTGTAAAGTTTTAATTCAGTAACTTGAGTCTTGAGCCCTTATGATTAAAAAGTTGAAAGCACAATAGTATTAGAGCCCACAGAAATTTGGACGTCATTTATTTATCGAATTATGCTACTTGTAAAAAGTTAGGTTATAAAATTGATTTACTTATAACTAGTTTACAAAATACATGTTGGCAACATCTTGACCAATAATATAAAAAACATTTTTTGAAATCAATGGCCTAGATTTTGTCACATCATTTTGTGAACAAACTTTTGTAAACCACCTTTGTACAAGTAGTATAATTGTTATTTCTTACAAGGAAAATGATAAACGTCCAAGGCCCATGTAGCACGGCTTTTCTTACAATTGTGTATAGGATAAACTCTCGAGTGATGCAACACGTACATGGAGAGTTTGACAATTTTTTTATAAATTTCACACTTGTCAATTTTTGATTGATTTTAATCAAAACAAACAAAAAAATGCACCATATAGGTGTTGCCAACACAACACACGTACGGTGCAAGTGAATTATTCTAAACTCCCACGTACCGGAAAAAATGCACGAAAGTGTCCCCGTATTGACCTTGTCATGTTTTTCCTGAATGTGTAGAGGGATTTTTGTGTACAATGCCATCTCTAACTCTGCACTAAACTGAAAATCATCTCCGATCCATTACACCAAAAGTTGCACCAAATAAACACTATTTGATCATTTTATTCTTTTTTTTTTTTTTTCATTCTTAGCAATTTATTTATTTGAAGATTTATTTATTTATTTTACAACTAAATAAATTACTAAATAAATAATTATGTTAAATTAACGAAAATATTGAATTCATTAATAAATTTTTAAAATGTAGTAAATTTAATAGAAATGCCACAATTAAGAAAATATTAAATCGTGTTATTAAAAAAATAGTGTAATACGTTTCGAATCCCGATATCATGATATTAGGAAGTCGAACTAGTATTGTAATTTAATTCTCGAAATTCATATATTCATCCCACAAATGATCAACTAATGTATTTTGAAATGCAATGTAACCATTTTTATCCTTGATTTGTCCATGATGAGTAAGGAAGTCTTGAAAGCGATTGTTTTTATTACTTTTTAAAACTTCTCAAGTACTTTTATTTTAATTCATTCCTTAATTATTATTGATTACATGATTGAAATTTATTATGAATGCACATAATAATAATAATAATAATTTGTTGTATAACAAAAATGTACGTACATACCCTTACAAAATTTGGTGCAAAGTGTAATAGAGGGGCAAAAAAGGTATTTAACAATTTTGGTGCAAAATGGTGCAATGGGTTGGAGATGGTGCAATTTGGTGAATTTTGGTGCAATGAGGATGGGTTGGAGACGCCCTAAGGCATTTGATGACAATTGAATCAGGGATGCGAACCTTTTTTCTTTGTACACATTTGGATAACTTATTTTTAAGTGGAGAAGGTTTAACTTTTAGCTTATGGGAAAAACAAATAACTTACTTATTGACCTTTTTAAGCTAGCCAGCCATACATGCTCATAATTTAAAAAAAAAAAAAAAGAATACAAGATGGTTTAATATGATCATGGTGAGTACCACAACAAGATGGTAAGGAGAAAATTAGCTCTTGTTTGCATATTTAACTAATGTTCATTGTCGGGTTAAAACTTTTTGATGTAGAAGATGGTACCAAAATTCTGAAATTAGAAATTTTATAAGATGACCCGTCAATATTTTTCATTTAAGAAAAGTAAACTGATGAGAGATTTTCCAGAGGCACAGTTAATAACCTTTGGGGTAAAAACTTTGTTTAATGCTTTATGATGTCTCCTTTGAGAAATTTGCAGCATTAGGATACTCATTTAACTTTGTGCACTGTTTTTTTTTTTTTCCGTATGCATTTCCATATAAGCATGTCTCTAATGATGCTGAAACACAACAACGATCATATAGTGCATCATTTTTATTGCATTTTGGTTAGTAATGAGCCTCGAACAAGAAAAGAATGAAAATTTAGAGCATGTTTGGCCAGCTTAATGATAACGTTTTCTAAAAAGAAGTTAAGATTTACTTTCCAATTTTTTTTTTTTTAAATTAACTTTTACTTCTTTTTAAACTTAGCCAAACATGTTCTAATCTTCTTCCGTCTATTTGACCCTTCGAAGTTCAGTTCTTCGACATTGTGTGATTTTTGCTCAATTGCTTGAGATGATGTCGCAGGATGTTCTACTTTTTCTTCGAGTCCAGGAACAGCAGGGCAGACCCTGTTGTTATATGGTTAACGGGAGGACCAGGGTGCAGTGGTGAATTGGCTTTGTTCTACGAAAATGGGCCTTTCCATATAACAAGAAACATGTCTCTTGCGTGGAATGATTTTGGTTGGGATAAGGTACTAGTAGCATCCTTTCTAAAGAAAGTTTCTGTGGGTTTTGGCTGTGAACTAAACTTTTATATGTTGAATATAGAACCATCCATTTCGAGTCCCATTGGTAAACTACTGAGAGGATACCGTTGCTTGTGTATTTTTGTGCAAAACTGTTATTTAATGAATGTGCACAAGTTACTTGTTAATTAAATTTTTTTGCTGTTTGTTATTTGGCATTGGAATGTTTGTGTGGAGCCTTACTGTACACTTATCCTCTATTGCGGATTGACCTAATTGGACAATCCATATTTGAATTACGTCTTTGTAATGAGCCTAAGATATATAAGGGATTTTAACGGGTATTGTCTTCACAACATAGACTGAAAGGAGTTAGATCACTATGGTAAACTTCTCCTCAATAGCCAAAAATTACAGTAGCAAATGTAACTTACTGATAATCTTAAATATTTATCAAATGTCTCAATTCCAGGTTTCAAACCTTATATATGTCGACCAACCAATCGGAACAGGTTTTAGCTATAGTTCTCACACTGATGACATTCGGCACAGTGAAGACGGTGTTAGCAATGATCTATACGACTTCTTGCAGGTAAGTTTCTATATCTTTGTATTTCACCAAAATTATGAAATCCATAAATTTAAATAGCTACTTAATTTCCTGCTTGGCGTAGAAAGGCACTTTAAGTCTCATGATCTGCTGGGAGATTTGATGGTAGTGGAAAGTGCTAGAAAAGAAAAATAAGCTAAAATATTGTTTGGTATATAGTGCATACCAAACATGCAGTCAGGGTTATTGATAACAAAGTTCTGCTATATCTCAACAGATTATATGACTGGCTTATGTTGCACCTTGTATGATACTGCTAGGCCTTTTTCAAGGAGCATCCCCAGTATGTTAAGAATGATTTTTACATTACTGGAGAATCATATGCTGGGCATTATATTCCAGCTTTAGCAGCACGAGTAAATCAGGGAAACAAAAATAAAGAAGGAGTCTATATTAACCTGAAGGTAAGTGTGCAATTACTTTTCTGAGTACTTTCAGATTCCAGTTTACAGCCTGATTTATTTGATTCATCACTCATGGTTGATCAGGGATTTGCTATTGGCAATGGACTCACGAATCCAGAAATCCAATACAAAGCATATACTGATTATGCTTTGGACATGAAATTGATCAAACAATCTGATTATGAAAGCATGAGCAAGTCAGTTTCACAATGCGAACAGGCAATAAAGCTTTGTGGTAATTATTCTTATTTCCAATTCCATGCGTAACCTGAGCCCCCCCACCCTCCATCTATTTCTAGTCTACCCCTGATGTGATTCATGATAATTGGTTGTTATTTCTGCTTAGTCTGAAAGAAATTCTATTCCAGGCACTGAGGGTGGAACCTCTTGTGTTGGGGCATACATGGTCTGCAACAACATTTTCAATAAGATAGTGGAACTTGCTGGTGACAAAAATGTAACTTATCATATTGTTGAGGCTTATCTAAGAGTACAAAGATTACGAAACCCAAAAAAACTTCATCTAATGCGATAAACAATTTTTTTGTCATTCATGTGCAGTATTATGATATACGAAAGAAGTGTCAGGGTAACCTGTGTTATGATTTCTCAAATGTGGAGAATTTCCTGAACCAGGAATCGGTTAAAGACATTCTTGGAGTTGGGAGCATAGATTTTGTTTCATGTAGTTCTGTAGTACATGAGGCTATGATCATGGACTGGATGAGGAATCTGGAAGTTGGTATTCCTCCACTCCTAGAGAATGGAATCAAATTACTTGTATATGCTGGAGAGTATGATCTCATATGCAACTGGCTTGGTATGTTTCATTTATCAGTGATTTTACTTATCAACTAATCTGGATAAGATATTCACTTTTCAACTTTTTGGTTTCGGACTGCGGAGAGTAATTATATTTCACACTTGGGTATTCAGACAAGGGGCAAATTATTTTTGAGAGTATATTGGTTATTCTATACATGCATTAGGTCGCTCTCATATTGTTACTATAAAAAGGATTTACGAGGCCTGTTTTGTATGTGTGTGAGGCAGATCACTTTGTACTTTTCTCCTTCATTAATGTGAAAACCTGCAAATGCAAAAGGACAACATTAACATTTGAGGGCACACTATAGCAGGACTGCTGTGCTGGCTTCTCATGAGATTGAGAGGAAGTCGGGAAGGGGAGTATAAACCGGGATTTTGGGGAAAAGGGGAAGTGGATAGAGGGTGCTTCACAGCTAGAGTTGGGGGTGGGGTCGCTAAAGTGGCTAGGGTGAGTCTTCCTACAGAGAGGAAGTCGGGAAGGGGAGTATAAACCGGGATTTTGGGGAAAAGGGGAAGTGGATAGAGGGTGCTTCACTTTTTAAACAATTTTTGGGCTATAGTAATTTGAATTCTATCAATTTTCGTTGTTTTTTTAATATGGACAGGAAATTCAAGATGGGTTCATGCCATGGAATGGTCTGGACAAAAAGAATTTGTAGCAGCTTCAACAATTCCATTTTCAGTCAATAGAGTTGAGGCTGGAGTGCAGAAAGCCTATGGACCTCTAACTTTCCTCAAGGTCCATAAATCTGGTCACATGGTTCCTATGGATCAGCCCAAAGCATCATTAGAAATGCTAAGGAGGTGGATGCACAACGAACTTCATATCAGAGAGACAGATGATCACCTTATACCTATGTGATTGCCACCTTTAAACAGGCCATGCAATCACTTCTGGCATGTTCGTACATGGATCGAATAGTAATGGATAATGTTAATGTTGTATGGTATACTTGTATCCAGTAATGCATGCCAAACATGTTTTTAACTTTTTCATGTGGATCGGTGCTGAAATTTTAAATCGGGTTGCAGCAATTTTGATTATTTACTTACAAAAGCTTTTCTACTTTCTTGTTTATAGTTACAGGATGAAGTTGTGTGGGCAATAATTTATCTAATCAATTGAGTAATTTCAGTAACTGCGCTTGGAAAGTGTGATTCATTTGCCAAGGAATGAGCCTGCAAGTAATTAATACTGATTTAAGGTAAATATATGTTCAAATTTAACTAAATTTAAGCTTCAACCATCTCCAAAAAACTTTTTAAATACAAAATGCTCTTTATTTTAAAGAGGTAATGCTTAAATCCGCTTTCTATTTTTAATGTAAAATGAATGCATATAATAAGTCAAAGATTTCAATATTCTACTTCTTAAATTATTCAAATCACATTTAATTTGATTGGCCATTGACATAAAAAAATGTTTTAAATTAAAATATGAGGATAAATAAAAAAAATGTTTCTTGAGAAAAGCAAAATAAAGAGCCAAAATAGAAAGCATTATTGGAGTGCATAAAAATTTTGACTCTCTAAATTTAAAGATGCTCTTTATAATGCATAAGATGTTCATTGCTTTTTATACATAAAGAGTTTTTTGAAGATACTCTTTAATTTTCAAGAACAACTTTGATGAGTCAAGCTAACTCGAACCTCGAATAATTAATGGACTTTTAGAACTTCCCAAATCATTGAAGTCAATCTCTCTCCCATATTAAATAGCCGCTTTATCTTGGACAATGGCGACCATCTATTGAATAATATTACTTGCAGTCGCTCATTATTTTAGCCGCTCTATATGACATACATGTGGTGGTAATGTATCAAATCACTAACTGTCACATGTATGACACGTAGGGCAATTATAATAGTGAGCGATTACAAATAGCATTATTCACATCTACTAGGGAGAGATGACCGAATATAAATTTATCTTGAGCTGACACGTCGAAAAAAATTCCAACAATTTTTTTTTTTTTTACCCATGAAAAATGAAATGGGCTTAGCCCAAGGATGCCCTCCTCCCTCCTCCCCTGCCATCTACCTTTCATTTTGTCAACAAACTACTTATGTAAACACAATGTCGTGCACAAGGATCCACGCGAATGTAATTTTGATAATCAATGAGTCTGACGAAAGTGACTATACTCAAGCTCCTATTCCATTTATTCGATGACCCATCATGCAAAAGATGTCGTTAGGGTGAATGCGATTTACTAATCTAATAAAAGGTAGAGTCTCTAAGTACATCTCCAACCAAAAACCAAATTTGGTTAAAAAACCCACTCGTTAGGTGATGTGGGGAAGGGTGGCGGTGGAAGTGGAGAGAAGAAAGAGAAGGGTGGCAATAAGGAAGAAGGTGGTGTTGAAGAGGAGAATGGCGCTAGTGGAGGTGGAGGTGGAAGCAGTGTGAAACTTTGAAATTGATTAAAGTTTTATTCCATAGAGTCTCTATCATTAAAAGATCTTCGACGCAATTAGTTATCTTTATTACAAATTTCCAACAAAAAAAAATATGGTATTTTTTTTTTGCTTATGTTAAATTTATTTATACTTGAGAACAATAATAGTCACAATGCTCGAAAATAATATATTGGTAAGAAGTAAGAACTACATAAAATGGTGCAAAACAACATTCACTCTCACTTTCAAAAAAAATTCCACCAAAAGGGGCATCTGACACTTGTTAAACTACGTGTTTTGAACGTGATCACTTTGAATATTTTTAACTTTGTAATTGAACTACATTAACGTAAAAAAAATCGAATCTTAAATGAATTAAATTCATCATATTCCGTAAGTGATAAATATTTATTTACTGCTTGAGGCCTATTTAAAAAAATAATAAAGTTGACCATTTTCCCATTGCCTCTCTCAAGTTTGGTCCCTCTTCAACAAATTCTATAGATGTCTAATGACTCTAATCTTAAAAATTAATAAAAATGTATGAGCCTTTGTTTCGTCTATATTATAATTTAATACATTTTTATATCTTCTCATTTTAACCACACATTCTTTAAAACAATAATATTATGCGTAAATCCAATTTTTTTCCTCTTTTGTAACCACGTATTTTTAAAAAAAATCATTATTCTAAGATACAATATTCCCTCAAAAAAAAAAAAAAAAAAAACACATTATAATGGGATCTCAAGAACGGGCTTAATTAACTAAAAAATTCCATTACACAGCGAGTCGTCGGTTCAACCAGTGACCCCCAATTGAGGTAAAGGTCGTTGACTTGGTATCTTGCACGGGCGAATGATCGAGTGCATTTGATGGCTATGGTTCGACCATTAAAATTCATGTGACTAAAACGACCTTTTTTTTTTTGGGAAATTGTAGAATTTGCAAATCCTAATTTAATGAATAAATAAACAAAAGGATAAAGGTTAAGGTCCTACTTGTGCAAAGTGAAGATTTGGGATCCCAGATCTCATTTTCGCTGATCCCCAATCTATTGTTGAAGTAGTAAGTTGGTCCCCTCATCTTTAAAAATAGCAAGTTCATCCTCATCTTTTCGTCGCAGATGCACGACCAAACCTTAAAAATGAAAATCGTCAATTTCTCGTTAGTTTCACAACAGCAAAGTTCACAAATCTTGTTTTTGTTTTTTCATTTAGTTTGGTATCTAAAAATTTAAGCAAGACAATTGTTTTACTAGTTACACTAAAAATCTAATGGATAATTGACAATTCCAGTTACTAATTATGCAACTAAAATAAGAAACTTTACCACTTTGCTTCATTTTAAAAAATTGAAAGAAATTTGCCAAGGAACACTTGAAGAAAAAGAAAACATTAGGGGTGACTTTCTAACTTTTCAAGGAAAGTGTTTTTTGTACATAACTGTTTACACAATATTTTACATAAAAATGATGTATCAAAATGTAAGTAGGCAGGTTATNAATTCAGTGACAGTTTTGAAAGAAATTTCAAATTTCAGTGACCGTTTCTGAAACTTTGAAACTTCAGTAACCGTTTTGAAATTTTCAGGTAACTTCAGTGACCATTTGTGAAATTAACCCATTAACTTTTACATTTTTATGTGATAAATATTTATTTACTGCTTGAGGCCTATTTAAAAAAATAATAAAGCTGACCATTTTCCCATTGCCTCTCTCAAGTTTGGTCCCTCTTCAACAAATTCTTCTATCAATGTCTAATGACTCTAATCTTAAAAAATAATAAAAATGTATGAGCCTTTGTTTCGTCTATATTATAATTTAATACATTTTTATATCTTCTCATTTTAACCACACATTCTTTAAAACAATAATATTATGCGTAAATCCAATTTTTTTCCTCTTTTGTAACCACATATTTTTAAAAAAAAATCATTATTCTAAGATACATTATTCCCCAAAAAAAAAAAACTCATTATAATGGGATCTCAAGAACGGGCTTAATTAACTAAAAAATTCAATTACACAGCGAGTCGTCGGTTCAACCAGTGACCCCCAATTGAGGTAAAGGTCGTTGACTTGGTATCTTGCACGGGCGAATGATCAAGTGCATTTGATGGCTATGGTTCGACCATTAAAAATTCATGTGACTAAAACGACTTTTTTTTTTTGGAAATTGTAGAATTTGCAAATCCTAATTTAATGAATAAATAAACAAAGGATAAAGGTTAAGGTCCTACTTGTGCAAAGTGACGATTTGGGATCCCAGATCTCATTTTCGCTGATCCCCAATCTATTGTTGAAGTAGTAAGTTGGTCCCCTCATCTTTAAAAATAGCAAGTTCATCCTCATTTTTTCGTCGCAGATGCACGACCAAACCTTAAAAATGAAAATCGTCAATTTCTCGTTAGTTTCACAACAACAAAGTTCACAAATCTTGTTTTTGTTTTTTCATTTGGTTTGGTATCTAAAAATTTAAGCAAGACAATTGTTTTACTAGTTACACTAAAAATCTAATGGATAATTGACAATTCCAGTTACTAATTATGCAACTAAAATAAGAAACTTTACCACTTTGCTGCATTTTAAAAAATTGAAAGAAATTTGCTAAGGAACACTTGAAGAAAAAGTAAACATTAGGGGTGACTTTCTAACTTTCAAGGAAAGTGTTTTTTGTACATAAATGTTTACACAATATTTTACATAAAAATGATGTATCAAAATGTAAGTAGGCAGGTTATTTAATTGGTGAGATTTTGATTTAATTAAATCTCGCCACATCATTTGTTGATAAACCATTATTTAAGTTGTGGTGTACGCGTATCACAACCAACTTTTCAATTAGTGTGATTTTGATTCCTCAGTTTTCAACTTGCTTCATTTCATAATGTTGACATTAGGAGATGGGCAAAACAATCGATCAAACCGAACAACTCAAACCAAGTCGGTTTGGTTTGATTTGAACAAAAAAAATCGATTTGGTTTGGTTAATTTTAACTCTTAAAAAGTCGGGTCTAGTTGGTTTCAGTTTAAACAATCAATCCGTCAATTAACCGACTCAATCTGCTAATACATTTTTTAATTTTTTTCCATTTTAAAATTCAATTTTTTAAACTTAAAAAATAAAATAATAAAAACAAGAATATTTTTTTTTCAAATAATTTGTTTACCGTTTATGCTTTTTCTATCAAAACTCCAAATATCGAAAGAAAAGAAAGCAAGAAGAAGAAAAAGTGTTTAATGTAAACTTCAAATTTACATTGTAATCTTACTTTTCATTTTTGGTTTAATTTTTTTGTTGGTTTATGCTTTTTCTATCAAAACTCCAAATATCGAAAGAAAAGAAAGCAAGAAGAAGAAAAAAGTGTTTAATGTAAACTTCAAATTTACATTGTAATCTTACTTTACATTTTTGGTTTAATTTTTTTGTTGGTAACTATCAGATATGAATGATGATTTGGAAAAATCGACACTTTATTATTTACATTATATCTATGCAAGCAAATAGACACACACACGTACTAGAAAGCAAATTTTTTATTCCAAAATAGGTAGGCAACTTTTTTTAACATGCACCAGTATTCAAATCGATTAACCAAACCAACTGATTTGGTTCGGTGTCAATGGCCGGTTGGGTTGATTTGGGTTAAAATTTACCCAAATTTATCAAGTCGGTTTCGATTTCGGAATGGACTCAAAATCACCCCTAACTTGATCTATGCTCAGTTCTAGTTAACATTGAAATTCGGGACGGGTCCCCGCGGGTATCGGGTTTGTTGGGTTTTTTTGCCATCCCTACGTCAATTAACCGACTCAACCTGCTAATACATTTTTTAATTTTTTTCCATTTTAAAATTCAAATTTTCAAACTTAAAAAATAAAATAATAAAAACAAGAATATTTTTTTTCAAATAATTTGTTTACCGTTTATGCATTTTCTATCAAAACTCCAAATATCAAAAGAAAAGAAAGCAAGAAGAAAAGGTGTTTAATGTAAACTTCAAATTTAGATTGTAATCTTACTTTTCATTTTTGGTTTAATTTTTTTGTTGGTAACTATCTGATATGCACGATGTTTTGGAAAAATCGACACTTTATTATTTACATTGTATATAATATTTGGATGCACTACGCAAGTAAATACACACACACACACGTACTAGAAAGCAAATTTTTTATTCCAAAATAGGTAGGCAACTCTTTTTAACATGCACCAATATTGAAATCGATTAACCAAACCAACTGACTTGGTTTGGTTTCAATGGTTGGTTGGGTTGATTTGGGTTAAAATTTACCCAAATTTATCAAGTCGGTTTCGATTTCGGGATGGACTCAAAATCACCCCTAACTTGATCCATGCTCAGTTCTAGTTAACATTGAATGTGAAAATTGTAATAGGACCAAAACCGCACTAATAGAATGGTTAAGGAGTTTCGTCCTAATTTTTTTTACTTAAATTTTTATTCTTCTTATTTTCTTTGAAGCTTCGAGCGCACGAGCACGTAAACAGAAAAGATAGGAAAGGAAAAGAAAAGAAAGAAAGAGAGAGAGAAAAAATGTCATAAAAAGGTTCAATTTATAAAAGATATTATAAAAGAGGAAAAGAATTAAAAGGCAAAACCATTCTTTTGAGTACATGACAACTCATCATGCGGGGTCCACACACACAGCACCACTACTCCATCTTCTCCAACTTCTGTGCATAAATACCTTTTCAATGCACCGTTCCGTTCCTCACTCTGTCTCAGATCCCAAAAAACAATTATATTTTCTCACAAATGGGCGCGGTAAGAAGTTTCAGATTCATCATGGACTTCTTCTCTGGGTGTTTGTTCTTATTTTTCCCCTTTAAATTTATTCAGTCTTTTGTTTTTGATGATTTTTTTTGTTCCTTTTTGTTTGTGGGTTTTACAGAAGAACAAGAAAAACAATGAAGCAGAACAGAAGAATGAAAATGATAATAACAAGAAGAAAGACAATGGAGGAAATGATAATGTTACTGCGGTTTTGAAGGCTGATTTGCACTGTGATGGCTGCGCATCCAAATTACTAAAATGCATTCGCTCTTTTGACGGTACGGATAAACATTTTCTTTTCAAATATTACTTTTATTATAATATTTTTCAGAATAATTTATCGGTTTTCCTTCTCAATATATTTTCCTGGGTTGTTACTCCGTTTTTCACTTTTATTATAATATTTTCTCAGTCAATTTTCAAAATATTTTTCTGCGGTTCCATCCGTTATTTTTTTTTTTCTATTTTACCATGAAACTCTTTTAGAATCTGGGTTCTGTTTGTCTCTGCAATTATTATTTTTCTGGGTTTACTATTTTTTTCATCTCACTTTCTGTATCTTTTCATTTAACTTTGCACTTGAATAATTTTTTTGGGTTTTCTGCGTGTGAAAAAAGGTGTGAAGTCTTTGACCATTGACGAATCTCAGAAGATTACGGTTAACGGGGAATTCGATCCGGTGAAACTCCGGGAAAAAGTTGAGGAGAGAACTCACAAAAAAGTGGAACTGATTTCACCGGGACAACCCAAAAAGAACGACAAGAATAAAGAGAAGAATGAAAAAGACAAAGAAAATGGAAAAGAAGACAAAAATACCAAGAATAACAGTGAAGGCAAAACTTGCAAGGACAAGAAGGTAATTTCATTCACTCTATATTGCCACTGTTTTCCTTATATTCATATTCATATTCATATTCATATTCATATTCAGATTCAGATTTTTCTTTTGTCTTTTTGTGATGAACACCATGCGCAGTTTAGCACCTGACGTCTCACATTCCATTCGTTTTTGTTCAATTAAAAGTATCTTATCTTATTTTATTTTCGGTTGTTTGGGTTGGTTATGAATTACACATTCTTTATTCCTAAAAGAACGGAAAACCCATGTGGCAGCTAGCGCACGTTAGCATTGAGCAGTTTGGGTTTTGTTTGGTGCAGTTAGCTTCGACGATTCACGTCATGTATTCAATTTTGAATTATTCTTTCATTAAATTACGTAACTCCCCCGTGTTCATAGTCTATTCAGGTGTGCCACGTTGGCAAAATCATAATTTCTTTCAAATTAAGTTGATTTGGAAATTAAAAGCATTAATTTGTTTACAGCCGTCTGTGACGACCGCGGTTTTGAAAGTGCACTTACACTGCGAGGGATGCATACAGAAAATCCACAAGATTGTGACCAAAACAAAGGGTGAGATTATCAAAATCCTCGTTAGTTTTTAGTACTCGTATTGAAGTGTGGTTAACGGAGACATTTGACGGCGTTACAGGGTATGAGGATATAAAAATAGACAGACAGAAGGATTTGGTGACAGTGACTGGAGCAATGGACATGAAGGCTCTAGCTGAGACTCTGAAGAAACATTTGAAGAAAGAGGTTGAAATTCTGCCTCCCAAAAAGGAAGGTGGCGGCGATAAGGGGAAAGGCGGTGGAGGTGGCGGCGATAAGGGGAAAGGCGGTGGCGGTGATAAGGGGAAAGGTGGTGGCGATGAAGAAGTTGGTGGGAATAAGGGGAAAGGTGGTGGTGGTAAGTGGAAGGATGGTGGCGGTGAGGAAGGGGGTGGAGGAGAGAACAAAATGCAGTTCCAAATTGGGAATCCACATCCGTATATGTACGGGCCGGGTCACATGGGCGACCAGTTTCAATACCATCCACATGTGTATGGACCATACCATGCACCCCAAATATTTAGCGACGAGAATCCAAATGCGTGCAGTGTTATGTGAGAGGAGAGGAGATTTGTATATGAAGGAAGAATAAAATGGATTATCTTACGTTGGTGGGTATTTTATTAGGTTTCTTTGTTTAATGGATCGCTAAGGTTTCAATAGAGTTAATTATGTTTTGTTCTTTCATAATTGTCATCGTTATTATATTATTACTTAGTACAAGTTGGGGTAGAAAATACTACCAATCTCTTCTTCTTAATGGATGCAAGGCATCATCTTTCTAATCTCCCGTTTGATGCTCATTATTACGTCAAATTGAGTTCTGTAATAGTGAATTTTTGGAGAATTCGTGGTTAAATAGTAGGATTTTTGAAAATTGAGTTTGGGAGAAAATGATTTTTGAAATAACGTGAATCGAATAGCTAGTACTTAATTATGATTTCAATACTTATGAACTGTTTTTTGCACTATCGATCAACATTGATTCATAACTCATCTTAAAAGTCGTTTCATCCGAAGAAAGGTTTGTTCAGGTAATTGATCACTAAGATGAATTGCTTCCATTGTCTTGTAGTGCTTGCAGAAAAATAAAATGATTATTCACTTTTTAGTAGTGCTCTAAAAGGCGTGCACGGAGATCAAGCTATGGGCTGGGCAAGATTAGGTGAGGCATATGTGTAAAAATGTTTTTTCTTATTTTAATATTATTTTAATTTTTAATAAGTCAAAAAATCATTTAATAATTAAAGATAATGCACATTTGATATCTAAAACAAATTTATAAAAACTTTATACATTTTTTTCAAAAGTTAACATCAAAAAGATAAGTTTCAAATGTAAATCAACTTTTAAGTTTTAATTTTTTAAAAATTTGTAAAAATTAATTTTTTTTAAATATATATATGTGTGTGTGCGAGCGCGCACGCGCACCTAGTCTCGTTGACCGCTAAATAAGGCACCAAACCATTTGGCTTGGCGTTTTCACCACGCATTGCGACAGGCGACACATTGACGACGCCTAAATGCGATGTCTAAACGTGCTTTTTAGAACACTGATTTTTAAGTGACAATTATTCCCTGTAAAATTTCTAAGCCAATTTTATGTGCATTTATGATCAATAATTGACCTACATCGATTCACAACCCATCTTAATCTTTAGAGAGAGAGAGAGAGAGAGAGAGAGAGAGAGAGAGAAGAAATTGATTATGTCAAGTTGTATGTGATATATGTGTACTCTTGACACTAAAGGCAGGGAAAAAGTATAATTAGACAAAACAAATAAACCCATTTCCTAATCAAATCTTAACCATTTTGGAACCATTCGTTTTCCAAGTGAATTTATGCAATACAATAATTCTATAAACAATCGAACAAGTGTATCTTATAAAGGATTGATGGATGGGACGAATGTGTACAAAAAAATCAAGATTTTAATGGAAGTCGTACAAAAATGATATGTTTGGTCGGTAAATTGATAAAACTTAAAATTTTATTATTTTATTGTCAATATTATCTAAAACCGATTTATCTCTGACTATTTTTTATATGACACATTTTTTTATTTTTTTATTTTTTGGGGAATCTCGCAAGAAGCTATGCCTCTCCTTGCCTAAGATTTATTTTTTAATATTCATTAAAAAAAAATTATTCATTTTAGATATTTAAGATGGATGTAAGATAAAGAACTCTAATAAAAAGGCAAGAGCGAAAGAAAATGAGATTTTTCTATGTGAAATTTACAATATCAAACAATAACTAAATTAAACTAATGTGATTTTCGTTTGGTAAAATGGATTAAAATAATACCTTTCTTTAAGATGTTAATTCATTAATCATAAATAATAGAAAATAATTTAGTTGAATCATACTACTTATAATAAATTTACTTGTGCGTGAATAATGTACATACAAGTGAAATATCACTTATAAGTAAAATTAAATATAAGTAATTATTTATGTTTCAAAATATTTTTTTTTTGTTAATCAAAGTTAAATATAGTGAGTCTCTTATTTTGTCACTAACTTAAGAATTACTTTTAAACAAAAGAAATTTCACTGCTTAAAAGTAATAAAAAAGTAAATTATCCGAAACATATTTGTAGAGAAAGTTACTTTTTACTTTTAAAAAATATAGGCAAAAAGATTATCTGATATTTTTCTTTAATATTTATGCATTTTTTTTTTCTTAAAAGTGGTGCAATGTCAAATATTGTCCAATTCACTTTAATACAATCTTCATATTTCTATCCTTCATATATTCACTACGTTGTACCAATGGTAACTAGGAGGGACCCAGAAAGGAAGTTCTGAAAACATAAAAGAACTTGGACAAAAAAACTATAAAAAATTTGAAAATTTGAAGAAAAATCTGAAAATTGAGTGGGGTCGGCAGCCCCCACTGGTCCTCAAGTGGGTCCGCCCCTGATGGTAACCTTGAAAAAATATCGTAAAACTAGGTATCCATTAAGACTAGTATTTTTTTCATATTTTATACACTTGTCTCTGTTTGGTAGGAATTAAAATCAATCTTTTAATATATTTTAATAAGACTTGAAGAAAATTGTGATTGAAAATTTATGACTCATCAAATATGTAGTTAAAATTAATTGTGGATTTTGATTTAAATTAGAACTAAAATTTTAATTCTTATCAAATGGGGCTTATATATATTGTGGGATCAAGATCTGGCAAATTGCAGTACAGTGGTGATAATGAATGAGATATAACACACAGTGTCACATGCGATAATATTATTTTACGTATACTCCGACTTCAATGTTCACTATCATGCCGACATTCCAATAAACAAGAACGTGTTTGGCAAAGCCTGAAAAATTATAACGTACTTTTCGTAATGTATATTAGATTAAAAAGCAATTTCTTTTTCTTATTTAAGGCACTTGTTTGATCCCAATTTTTCGCTAAGAATGCATTTTGAAATAGTAATAGATGGAGAATGTATGGTTAATAAATAAGCCCGCGTTGGATCCTCATTTTTCTTTTTCTTTTTCTTTAATAAAATAACATTACAAACTAAATTTTAAAAAAAATTCTTCTTTTTTAACCACACATTCTCCAGCAATATACTATTTCAAGATACATTCTCAACAAAAAAAAGGGGCTCAAACAGGGTGTAAGGAAAAATTGTGGGTTTGTATATAATATTATTTTATTGAAAATGTTTGATTGAAAAGAAGATAAAGAAAAATATATTTTGAAAATAATAGAAATCAAAAAATGGGTAAGTAAAAAGTAACTTTCATATTACTGGGAAAAAAGTAATTTACTTATTTTTAATATTCATCGTTTAAAATTATGCAAACTTTAATGTATACTTATTTACTTGTAAGGGTGTGTTTGATGGATATTATTGATGAAAGAATTTATTTTAAATAGTGATGTGATGAAAAATATGTGGTTAAAAAGTAATGAAAAGTTATTGATGTGATGAAAAATATTATTTTATTAAAAAATGTGCGGTTAAAATGAGTTTTGAAAACACGTATTTTGAAAGAATTTATATCAAACAGGGCTTTTAAGTTTAGCCAAACATACAGTAGTCCAAAATACAGGGTGTTGTAAAAGCGTGTTTGGTCTAATTATAATTAATTCAAAGGGAACATTTAGGAGATTCCAAGTCCATGTGATTAGTGAAGTTCTTTCTTTTAGTCAAAATGATTACATGAGGTAGAACCCATGTGGGGTTTATGAAGATATGGAAAAGGACTGGTCATGATTAGCCTAAATGGCAAGAAATGAATACATCCATTGCATTATGTATGTTCTCGAGTTTTAGGGTGTGAATGCATTTTTAAGTTAATTATTGAGAGATCCATGTTTAGTCGCAAATCATTAAAATTTTGAAAAAAATTCATCTTATCGATTGTCCAAAAAAAAAAAAAAAGATTTAATGATCGATTATACGTTTTGGAAACAATTCTATAGAGTTTTTAATCGAATAGAGTATATGCATCTTACTTGGAATGGTAAATAATGAAGACATAATGGTTGAAGCAAGGTAAAAAATTGACGATTCAATATATTTTTCTACACGTAAACATGCGTGTCTAACAAAAAATAAGGTAAAGCAATCAGGGTTTGACATATTTTGGTGTATGAAAAATAGATGTGTTGAACGCTAAATAAGATAAGAAATGACAGCTTGATGTGTAGATGATAATAACGTTGATTTTCATTCACTACACTCATTTCATTTCAATCATATCATTTGAAACATGTTATTGTACAACTTTGAATTTTTCCTTCCTTTTGATTCTCTTTGTTGTTGCCATTTGATCTCAAGAATCATTGACCCTTAGCTTGGTTACTCCTACTATTAAATAAATTCTAAATGATATTATTTTCTTCGATCGAAGGGTTGAATTCCCCATTTTCTAGCCAAATCTTTACTTATTTATTATCAGAGCTCCACCTAAAATTTTACCGACAAAATTCTAGTTAACAATTTTGCTCCTAAGATCAATTCTCTCTAAATAGTTTTACTAAGACAGTATTTGATAGCATCATTTTTTCATGGAAAATGGAAAAAAATTTCAATTTCCCTCCTTTATATCTATGTTTGATAGCCACATTTTACCTGCCAAATGTTTTCACCGCCGCAACTTCACGCACCTATTTTCCGGAAATTTGGTGAAATTGTTTTCCTATTGTTTTTGCAAGAATTGATTTAACAGGTTGC